TCTGTTCTTTAGCCGCATCTGTTATTTCACACTGGCTTCTCGGACTAATATCAAATTAGATCAAGATCCAGAACAAAATATCTAGGAGATGAAAAGTCGGGATGGGTGTGTGTGAAGGGACGAGAGTAGCACATTCTAAAGTTGCATCTATCAGATCTTCTAGCTACAAGTTCAGTTCAGACAAATCTTGCAACCCAGAAAAACAGCACAGGGGCAATCAGCCAATCCTAAACTTAATTTCCTCAAAAATGTGCAAAAAACAGCAAAGTCTCCTCTTTTCCTTTCACATAGTGCAATATAACAATGGCAATTACGAACTAGACGCCAACAGTCCAAGAGGGCAAGGCTTGGCCAGGCGCGTCGGAAAAGCGTCCTAGACGATCTGGTCAAGTGCAGTGAGTGAGATTCCCAAGAAAAAGAGACTTGGCCAGGTGCACTAGACAAGCAGTTCAGGAATAAAAAGATTTGGCCATAAACATTTCAAGCTAGGATGACTTGATAGCTGGGTGAAGAGTCCAGGATAGTAGGAGTTGGTCAATGCATAAGAAGACCAGGTGGTTAAATTTCAGTATCGATGAGTTGGGTAAGCGTTTCAGGATAAGATTTGATAGTCGGGTAAGTTAGCCCAGAAAATTGAGGCATGGCCAAATGCGCCGGACAAACAGGCCACGATAAAAAGATCAAGGAGCTGAATTACAGTATCATCGTGAGCCCCGTATCGAAGCTGCAAGTGATTCCGGTGATAAATTATGGCTCATACGCAAGCAAATCTTCCTAAACTCAAGTGCGTTGTTTTCGTGTTTGAAAAGGGATTATTAAATTTTATGCTTCAGCAAATTTTTCTCCAGCTTCCTTCTACTGGTATTTAAAGTAACAGAAAAGTAAAACGAGGTTTGTCTATTTAAAGTAACAGAAAAATAAACACATGGACCCTTAGATCTACAATATAACCTTGAATTTTAAAGGGCAAACTTTTCCAGAATAGCAGTCTCTCCTTCTCTTTTCCGACCCTTATATTTGCTGTGTAGAAGCTTCCTGTAACATTACTAATGCGGGAAAATCAGTAATATACGGGGGATATCAGTCTTAAAATATAATCTTTTTCATACTTTTGTTTATGAATAGTAATGATAATAATAGTATCAAATAATAAAAATAATGATAGTG